CCAACAGTTCGAGACTAACCTGAAGAGATTCTCGATATTGCTCCCGCCGCTAGCGAGCGAGGCGGACGTTGACAAAGATTGCGGCGACCCGGAAGCGGCACCGATGCTGGTCGCGCCTATGCCAGCGATACTGTGCCTTTGAACCGGCCCCGTGTGCGGCTGATACCGTACTTTCCCGACAGTGCCCGTACCCGGCGTCGTATTCAGTCCGCGGAATTTGATCGCTTGCAGATAAATCACCAAGTCCGATAGTTCTTTCGCGATCTGGCTGCTCTGCTTCTGCGATTTATCGTCGACCGCGGAGTCGGATTTTAATCGACCGTGCTGAATCCCGCCCAAGTACCTCTCGTAACTCGAAATGGAGTTATCTGAAAGGTGAAACTTTCGCGTTACCGTCAATTAAATAGTTAGTCAACTTCTTGCGTGGTTCGAACAGTTTCCAATTAGTTCTCGCGACGAATTTGTCATATTAATCAATTCCGTGTAATCGAGAGGAAAAATTGTGCAATTACATTACCAAGATCGATTTTATTAAATTAGTTTCATATGGAAGGGATTTGAGAATTTTAATCGTGGCTGGTCAATGATATAATAACAATAATGGACTCCATACATTTTCTCTCAATATTTCAATTTCATTATTTGTGTATCAGATTTAATTCGATGTTAAACTCCATTACAGTCTAAATCTTATTGCACCGAGAAATGGTTTCTTATCATTCCCAAGAGGAAACAATCGCTTTCAATATAAATTGAAGTTTGTCGTCAATAAACTGAAGGATGAGCAGCAATTAGAAGGAATGAAATAATACGTCTCCGTATTTGGGTTAAGCCACAGCTTGAAAAAGATTAAGAGCAACAGCCTCAGTGTTCTTCTCTCTGAGGAATTCTAACTTCGCGGTAGATACTGATCAAACTTCTCTTCTCTCCAGTTATATCTATCTATCTATCTGTATTCGTTTAACGCGCGCCGAGATTGATAAAAAATTTCAATCGGAGTATCTTCGGATTGGAGATAAACGTCTATAAGCAAAACGCAATTAAAACTTAGGAGCAATTACGACTTTCCCTTGAATCGCGTTAATAACTTAAAAGCTTCCGAGTTCCCATCGTTGATGACTTTTGAAAGTATGAAATGACTCTTTAAGGAAAATAGCACGCTTATCGATTTTGTTTAATTAAAGCCGAGAAGTGAATTACCATCGATATTGTCATCCTCGTCATCGTCCTCCTCGTCGTCATCATCCTCGCTGAAATATTCAACGACGGAAGCCGCGCTCCCGTCAGTACGCATCTGCTTCATAGATGATGCACGATCGGACATGAGCATTTTTCCTCGATGACTCAGGGGAGCGTGGGCTAAAGGTCCGCCTGGATCCACCACCAGCTTCTTGTTTTTGATCAATATTCGATATCGCAACTGCGAAGGCGACGGCAGCTGCGGATCGTCACTGAAGTCCGTCTCGAATAAGAATTTCGTTACGAGTTTTTCCCCAAATACTGACTGGAAAAATCGAGAAAACTTTATCTTGCACGGTTCATTTTCACGGAGGGCAACACAAAATAAAATACTTGACAGTGATATGAATTAGACATTTAAACACACAACGAATGGGTAACAGAAAGAATAAAAATAACGTGAATTTTTATTGTAAAGTATTTGAAATATAAAAAATTGCGTACTTGAAATATTTGCGCCATCCGTGCTTGTTGAGTTTGCGAGCAATGATTCTCAATAGAGAGGATTACAGGGTATGGAGAACTGACAAAAGCACTTCTATCAATCGCCTCCACGACCGAACGAAACGGTATCTTGGTAGTGAACGTGTGGCCATGGTAAATAACCGGAGATCCATCGTCGCCGTCCCAACAATCGAGTTCCACACACCTACACCCGGTTAAGAGTACCTAGAAAATGAGCTTATCGTCATGCCAAGTACCCTGTCAATTATTAAAAATACTTTAACACCGCTTAAAAATTTAAGTGAATAATGTGATAGTTTGGAAAGCTCGCTAAAATTGTATCAAGCTGAATTTGGAACGCGTAGAAGCTTACTAACAATTTACATTGTAAAGTGGGAAATTACATTAAAAAGAAGGTTGCAAAAATGTTTAGAATTCGATCCCTTATTAGTAAAAAAATATAATACTTAAAAAGTGTAGAAAGTACTTTTTATAAGATTCGAGTCTAGATTACTTGGCCAGAAATCTGAAACTCGCACCAGCAATTATCGCGGTTCTTAGAATAATCCCTTCATTAGTATGAAGTTCAGGTATACGCGAAGATACAAGGAAACAGCTGGTTATTAAAAACGATCTTAAGTGCAAAATTATACAAAACATTTTAATTATACTTAAAAAATAACCATTTAAATATAAATTTATTTAAATATAAATAAATACTAACTAAACAAGATGTGAGTAAACAATCTCGTTTCAGTTTTACAGACAGAATAACTCTAATATAAAGTTATATACATATAAAGGGGCGCATATTAAACTTGTACAAACATTGTAAACTTCTTTTGACGAATGCGAAACGAAAGATCCGCTTACCTGAGAGTAAAGTTGCACCGAGGATTCCCCTTTGAGCTGGTGGCCGGTTAAATAAGTGTTATGCGAGCTGGCGATGTAATACTGGGACAATGGCTGTTGCATTTCAGTCTCGGACGGTGTCGCGTACTCGTTTGGGAAGGCATAATTGTCCTTGTCCATCATGTACCGTGCAAAGCCCTCGAAAGACAAACACCATTGTGTACGTAGCGCCGGGTCCGGTTCGTGTCGCTGGAATCAGGGCAAATCGTCCCGGTTGATTGTGCTACTCTGCGCTATATCTTTGTGTGCCATTGTATTGCAACGACATAACCCTGGATATATAACGCGACAATGCAATAACTATTGCGCATCCTAATTCACAGCAATCGAATAGGTCACGCTGCTTGTCAGTCATCATTTGTGGGTCACAGGAATATTTGACTTGGTCCCTTTTACATTTTGTAAAGATAAGTCATCGAAAATTGACTCTTTTTCGGTTTTAATATAAATGGATAATATAATTTAATGAAATTAAGCTATTGACTTTTGTTTCTAATAAAAATCATCGATGTCTTTGTACTGTAATCAAGAGAGACTCGTTTGGTACCTTGACTAGGGCCTTGATTTCGTCATCAGTTAATTTTTCTTGCTGACGGGATTCCAAAAATTTAGTAAACGTCGCCAGGGTAATAACTTGCGACTTCGAGGTGTCAACACCAGAACAATTATTAACGATGCTGGCTGCGGCTACCGCGTCGAATACTTGCTTCTTTTGTAGATTGCTACTCGTTTTGTACTCGTGACAGTCGATGGAGTTGTTCCTCGTCAGAAGACCTGTTTCAAAGACATTTATGTACCGCCGCAACCAAAACATATAATTTCACAAATTCTCATGTGAAATACATGTAGAGAATGGTCTTCAATGTAGACGAAACGTTGAACCAACAAAGAACTGTTTATTGTTTTTTTTTAATAATGTGAAATATTTGATGGTGTTGGACTGACCGATTCGTTGGGGGGTCGCATCGCTGGTCTGTCTCAACACGGGCGGCCGTAAGCTAAAGTCCCTTAAGGAACCGTCGCTCTGGCTACGGCAAGTGATGGCTAGCTGGCAGAAAAGGTCGCGCAGATCCTTTCTGGCTCTCAGGCTGAACGAACGGAATAACGCGACGAACTCCACGAAGTTCAACTGAGTTTCGTAGATTATGGAAGTGGTGCGTGCTTTCACTTGCCAGGGCGCTTCCATTCCGCCCGACATCCCAGATCCATTTCTATCCTTGTCTCTGGCGATGTATAATAGGCTGCATGAGTATCGTGCGAGAAGAAACCCACGTTACTTCGCTTCTCATAACCCTTTATGTCTTCTAAGCGTAAAGCGATAAAAGCGTGTGCAAGCTTTCTCATAAAAAGCAGTGCAATCCTCGAAGCAAGTTCATGACAGAACTGAGAAACTACTTTTGAATAAAATAAAATTTAATTTTCAAATATATTTCGCTGCGGAAACTATTATCTTAGGAAAAAGCGAAGATCGCTTCATGCTTAGCTGGCTCGGTGAAACAAAAACGTGCTGCAATTTAATTAGCAAGCAAAATAATGGATCCCTATAAATACGCAAACACGAACAAGAAGTCGCTCCTCGCTTGGCTGGCTCATTCTGTTCGCAACGAATTACGACGCGTAATTAATCAACAACATGGTAGTGATCGGGAGCAGGCAACCGACAGATTCTAAAGTTCAAGCCTCGAGTCGTTCTACTTATATTCCGTGTTTCGTAGTTTTTCTTCTTGTTTATTATCCCATGTCTTTCGGGACCTGGAGGGAATCCTTACCTCTGAAAGCTGGCGTAAGGCAAGTTGGAGCTAATAATTCGTTCGGCGGACCCGGGCGGACTGCGTGGGGGTACTCGATCTCTGCTAGACCGTGGGGACGCTGGTATAATTCTCGTCAACGATTCCCTGCTACCCGTAATGTGTCGAAGAGGGGTCGCTGATAAACCGTCCGACGACGACGAGTCGTATTGTTTTAGGCTCAAATCCTGTTTTAAACAATCGTGCATTTCATCTCACGAGTCTAACAGTTGAATTCAAATATTTATAGTGACCCCATTTCCTCTATCTAGCGTTTCGGAATCGATTTTTGTGACACAGTGAATTAATCTAACAGTGCTATGCAATTTTCATAACATAAAATTGTGTGATTCATTATTAATTGTGATATGCGTCCAATAAGAAGATAGAGATTTCTGTGAGATCCTGACTCGTACAGAGGGGAGTTCCTTTGGTCATTACAAAGTGACAGTATTGGTTTGATAGAAGTCAAGTGCACGAACCTTTGTTAACGCGTGAATATTGCCGATAGATTTCGTTTTCTTCCCTTTGGTGTTTCGTTTGCGAAGCGTACTGCTACTCGTTGGCGAAAGCGTCCCGATGCTTTCAGTCGTTGACCAGTCGCGACCACCGAAGGCCCGTATGGCATCGGCTGTCATCGGTTCGAGGCAGCCTTCCTCGAAATACAACTGAAGATACTTCTCTTTCAACCATCGCGATCTACGATCCGTTAATTGCTGTTGCCGTTTCAGGCCTCGTAATATCCAACAAAGACCCATATACCAAATTCTGCAACAACCGGCAGCCATGAATTCTGTTAAATGCGTTTCGACATAAACTCCCTTATTTTGAGTGCTATAAATTTCGTTGAATGCTTCTATCTCGCGAAACGAGAGGAATATTGCTTGCCAAGTTTTATTATTATTATTACTGCCACCGTTCCACGTGTACGGCTATCTTAGACTATTGAATCAGCGGTACGAACCACGTTGGAAATTGAGGAAATACAACGGCAGAGCGGTAATAACTTTTCAATCCACCATTTCTTTTTGTAACGACACTGTGTTCGTCAATTTAGGTGGACTCGATAAAATAGCTATTCCGTGCCACGATTCACGGGCCACGGCGGGGATGTCGGATAAAGGTTTGTCGTAACAATATATTCCCTCGGACAGAAAAAAAAACGAACGAAGCGTTTCGCTGATCTAGTGTTGCCACGTCTTCCCGGTTAACGCGATCCAAACGTAATTTCTCGTGTAAAATGTGTCGCTAGAAATTTTCTTGCTCGTTGCACTGGAAATTGTACAAATTCTAAATGCGACACTTCATAAAATATAATTTAGCAAGATTTAAGATCAATTTTAACTCGCGTCAGGTATATTGATTACAAAGTTGAGATGTTCGGAGAATCAATTTATTATTAAAATTAAATTTTGTCGGAAGATGGTAAATAAAGTGAATCGGTGATTCGGCCGAATATTGAAAAGCTTTTAATCATCCGGCGAAGCACGTCCGACGCTTGCTATTAAACATCCCAAGTAAGCAGCGTTATAGATTCCTCTGTAAAAGATTTGCCATATTTTATAAGCTCATCTCAAAGATACTTCAATGCAACTGCGTCGGCTGAAACGTACTGCCTGGAGAGTTATGCGCTACTACATTACTCTCAAAGGTATTTTGAAACGTAGCTACACCTACACACGTATTCCTAGGGCCGTTTCAAAGGAAGCGTACTCATTGTCAGTATTAAACTTCAGAGACAATTTCTGATGTCGTACATGGTTGTGCAATACTTTACACATTGACAAAATTACATTTCATTCTCATGTAGCAATTAGAGATTTTCAGATGATTGGCAAAATGAACCTCGAGACGACAATTTGCGTAGTATAATTATACGTTTAATGATAAATACCGTTTCTTGTCAATCTCAATGTGTTACAAATGAAATCGTGTTGGAACAATAGGAATTGTATGTACAAATATAATCAATTTTGTTAACTAAATCGGCAGTTTGATTAGTACTATTTGTAAATCTAGATAGGCAGATACTTTCCGCGACACGTGGACGTCAATTATTCGAGCCAACATGTATTGGCAGAAACTCGTTAAAATTGGATATGTCCGATAAACCAATACGTATGTATGTATATTTAGGATATAACGTCTATTAATAAAATTAATAGGCGTTTGTATAAAGATGTTATTTTTTCAATATGAATACAGCAATTCATATATAACTAGAATTCACGTATTTTTATAACATAGTATTGTCATGATTCTAAATAAAATCGTGGATTCAAAGTTGTACCTAATTTAAAAGTATCGATTTTGATAGAAATGCTTTTCAATAGCTAATGTATGAAAAATCATACTGAAAAGTAAGAGAGGTCGTTGATAATACTACTCACTTGCTGAGGGCAGGAGGGCAGAGGAGAAAGATCAGTCGATTGTCCGGCAGACTGGAGCCGTACATGAGGCCGATGCATGAGTCGGTTCCGGACAGGCCGTACCTCTTGCAGATGCTTCTTAGGTCAGCCTCCCTGTCCCGGTCGCAACAGCCGATCATCACTTCTTTCACGGAACTCAGGTCGAGGTAACCTTCTTCGAGCGTTACGGAAGCGCAGTCCGTCTGTTGTGTGGTGTATCTTCCCAGTAAGCCGGCCGACACCGTGTCTTCCGGGTTGGCAGTTAACGAGAATTCTGTCGCGGACGGACCACCGGGCTGGGCAGTTTTCAACGGGCTCCACGGCGGCCTCTCCCACACGAAGGTGCCGCAGGCCCGATCCACCCGCGCGAACACCAACGCTGTCCTCGTGGTCCCGCTCTCGCAGTCCCAATGTACCAACGTCGTACCATGATGCAGCACCTAATACAATTTTTTCATATAATTCGTTTCGATTCATTTTAATATACTGAAAAATGTTATATCGCTACAAAGTTTTCTTCCTATTGCGCATCATACGCATTCAATTCTCTTCGGAAACGAGGTTCGTTTATAAGAAAGTAACGGCGAATTCTAAGAGTCCGTATCTTTAAAATCTAAACGGCCCATTGGGAATTCATTTAAACGTAGCCAGTAGCAATGAGAAGTGTAACGAAGCCGCGAACGATCGCCGGGAAAATCTCGCCGTTGAATCCCACCGGCTATAATCTCTGGTTATTAAGATCGTTTTAGCGGTACGTATACGTCCAGTTGCGGTTCACCCCGAATCGCGTACCGCGCGCAGTGCAAGACCGGTGCTGCGCGGTGGCACGGCGGCATGCATCCTGTGGCTATGTTTATAACGCTGATGGAACTTCTAATGCACTTAGAACACCGTTTACGCGGTCGTCCCGTAAGTGCAGCCCCGCGAGCGAACACTTATAAGAGCTTTATGCGCTCCGATGTGCACGCAAAAATTATTTATCTTCCTCGAAACGCGGACGGGTTAATTGACGATGCGCTACAACGCGACCATTCAACGCTAAATGCTCTGGACTATGAAAAATCATGCGCTATCTAGATTTTCGTGTGGCACTCATTCTCCTATTGCGAAAGGTAGTTAAAAAAAGCTCGTTTGTATCTGACATACGTAATATCGGTTTAAAGAATTGGATGCATTATTCAAACCAGGATTTAGTAACTTTATATGAGAATCGTTTTTCGCAGTTGCTTTTAAAAATACTCTCCTAATTTCGGAACGATAATTCCAACCATGTTGACATGTGATGCTGCGGATCGGACGGAAATAGAATCCTTAAATTGACCTGTGTCAAAGTCGGAATTGTACGTATGAATATTTGAAGACGCTTTAAGAGGATCCTGTAATTTCTGAAATTTGATTAGTAAAATGCATATTGGCCAAAGTAAATTCACGCAGGGTAAGGTAATTAATGAAAATGGTAATTGATGAAAATGGATTGGCAGAACCTCGAGCTTGATTTAGAAACTATCCGACGAAAAATCGCTGTAATTCCGTTTTTATTGGTTGGGATTAAACGAAAGAGTAGTGCACCCAGAGACGGTCTATCTTACATTAAGGTTCGTTCCTCATTAATACATGACAAATATTCATATAATATATGTACGTACAAAACATTCACGTATTCATGATCATTTAATTCCCAACGGTAAATGGTTTGTTGCTCTCAAGAGTCCCTCCAGGGGCGAATTAGCAAAAAGAGAAATTTCTTCGCGAGAGTGACCCGGTTTTGCCTTTCTGGCCCTTTCTCTCGAGGTCTTCCAACTTTAATCCTTTTCATTTCCAGCTGCTCTCCCCGGTTGCCTCGCGATCCCTGACTCGGCGGCTCTATCTTTATCTGTCTTTCTACCTCGCAAGTTTCCACGAGCCAGGTATACGCAAGCTAGCGCGAGGTAAAGTTGGTCCCTTTGAAATCCTTTTGAAGTGCAAGAAAACTACAGAGAGCCGAGACGATGCCGTCTTTTATCTTAGCGATGCGTCGGGCGAACTACCGAAAGCAGCTGGACGCTGGAATATTAATATGTATTTCGAAATCGTCCGAGGGTAAGGTCGCCATACGCCTCTGTGTGTGCAACCTCTCGAGGTCCGTATGCCTGTCTATGTGTAGGTGTATGTGCATTTACTGGAGTCTCATATAGCCGATACGATGCGCATAAATAGCTGAGATTTCGAGATACGTGATCGTTTGCATTCGTAGCAATTGAATACTAATACCTACACCGTTTAGACCTTCTGTTCATTCTCTTATTAAGCTTCATACGATATTGTCTCCAAACGTATGTGCTCTCGTAGAGATTCAAAGAACAAGTGAAATCTAATGAAGTAATAAATGTAATTTACTATGGCAACTAATAAAAATGCAACGACTGATGCATACTATATCACGTGTTCTAATTCTGTCTGACTACGTACTGTACCATACTACTGGAGGAAATATCCAGCCTCATTCAAATATTTAAACGAAACGAAATTAAGTAGTAAAAGTCATTGCTTCACTCAATTTGATTTCTCATCAGTTTGCCTCACTTTTCTCGTACTGTAGTGACATTTAAATTACAAACTACATAAACACATATATACATTTACTTTTCAAGTTAATGTGCCAGAAATCGTTTGCATTCTTTAAGCGACACATGCATTCCAAACCAGTAAATTATATCAATCATAATCAGTGCAGTAGAATTGCAGACAATAATAATAACGAAACATGAAGATGCTGTTGATACATTTTTTTCTTTTATAAGTTGGGTATTCACCTGTAAGAGATGTAGATCCATCCCGGTGTGTGGGGCGGCAACAGGAAATAGCGATACCCCATGGTCGATCGTGATTGGCTGTACCGGTTTGTAGGAATCGAGATCGAGATGATAGTCGTTCTCGTCGCATTCTTCGGCCATGTAGGTTTGCTCGATTGCGGTTGTATGAATGCTCAGCGTTCGATGGAGCGAACCGGTCGTCGCATCTCTGCTACGGGCGTGTCGATGCTACGCGAAAGTGTGATAACTTCATAAATATTTTCGGTATCGTTCAATGCGGCACAGTGTCTTTGGTCGTGATGCAACCGAAACAGCTGTACGTGTATTGGATTCATATTTGTCGCAAAATATGCGCGCACACGATTTTATATGTACTATGATTTGAGCGAGGATTTAACAAACGAAATACGATATTTGCTTTCACAAGACTCTTGACAATATTCCAATTTGTTGCTAAATAGAAAATACATCACACACGTTCTCACGTTACTATAAAAAAATTCATTTAACCAGTCTTTCCTCACGTAACGAACCCTTGAATTAAGGATTTAATTACATTTTATATTAAAAAAGGTGTCTATAACAGACAAGTGCCGTTTCAAGATTTTCCATGCCACTCTTTAAACTTTAAAACGCATACACAAAGAAAGGTATGTTTAATTTAAAACGCTCTTAACTTTAATTTTATTCATGTTCCATGACACTCTTATTCGCGTTTTAAAATGATTTTAAAGAGGAACGCACATACTTCGAATTTCATTGTAACCAAACGATGATGAAATTAAATTCCGACAATGCTTTTATATACATATACATTGACAATCTCGCGTTCAAGGTCCTTTGATATAAAAAAAGCGACAGATTATACCTCGAATTATCGAACCTTAAAGAAGTTATTCTAGTAAATATAACGCGCTCTGTTTTGTGTTGAATGATCCTACGCTTTCTATTCTTGAAGGTGGCAGAGATATTTTAAGTATCGAAGATAAATAAACACACCTCCTCTATGAAACGACATATTGAAAATTTTTCAAAACATTCATGATTCTTAAATTATTTCACGGCCATTAGTTATTCAAAGAGAAGATCTCAGCTTCGGGTTTTAGTTTATAAAACAAGTTCGTCGTTGATATACGTTTAAAGATTCTTAGAAACAGAGATACCTATTCTAATTTTAATGACTCAAATATTTAAACATAGAAATTAAAACAAAATTAAATTATCCTCCTTTGGTTGATAATAGAAGTTAGTCCAGGAACAACGTTTGTCGTAAGATTATTTGAATTTCAACTATGCGTACCTTATGGAATTCAGCGATCTTCTCGAGGACAGAGTTTGTATCACGGTTGGAAGTGTTCCCCTGTTTCTTCAGGGAACTATTTCTCAAGTTCCAGTCCGTGGACGATTCCGTGCTCGTGTCGATAGTGATCTTCGCTGTCTGCCCCGAGGATGACAGGCTTTCGGGTTCGGCATCTTTGCTACTACTGCGTGGCGATTCGCGATTTTCTTTGGGTTCCTGAGACTAGAACAAAGGTCAAGTTTTTTCTTATCACTTTCTATTTAATCGGAACCGGACTTAAAAATATATCGTGTCGTAAAAAAAGAATTTGAGATGCTGACTGATTGATACAATGTATCGGAAGTAACTGTCAATAATAGCTGAACGCGGTATTGTTAAATGGGGAATCAATTCTGAAAAATGAACACTAAAATTGCAGATACACGAAAATATGGCGAACAGGCACGGTTGATCGATCAGATAGATTTAAACTGAAACGTTTTCGTTTAATCAAACTCTTTTCGTTTATTTTTAATCAATTTACAACGGACCGGCGCGGCTCGCAAATGTACGTCGACCCAATACCTTTGCCGTGATTCCAGAGAGATATTTTTACATACATAAAAACAGCTATACAGAGTAGCTGGGAGTAGGTACTCCCTCTCTCTGTCAAATGTCGTTCAAAATTTCATCAATTTGACCCATTAAAGCCTACCGTCCTATTAATAGTGCAGCGCCTATCGATGATCGTTTGCACTTTGAACGTCGGTAACGGTATTTGTTCAACGAATAACCCCCGTCGAATTCTATTCGCGAACGATTTTAACAGAATTCCCAAGGTCCGTTATACGAAGACACACTGTTACCTATTAAATATCGATGCACCGTGGAACGTAACCAAAAACATTAACGGGATATTGATTCCTCCAAGTGTCTATTCCTGTTGCTCGTCGACAAATAAGCATCGTAACTTTCGATACAAG